AGGCAAAATACTTACCTCGGGCACATCAAAGGAAAGAAAACAAACAAAGTATACAACCTGCAAAGAAAGCTCTCAGCTTTGGAATTCACTTTCTCCCTTTTAGTTCAACAGCACATGCATTGCTGACCCTCAGAGAGCACCACAAAGCACAACTGTTTGTGTAACCTTTGCACAATGAGGAACTTGCTTTGCTTTATCCTGTGCTGGGATTGAACACAGTTCACTACAGTTTTTGAGGTTCCCTTACCCTGGCAAAGTTCATGAGTAAATGAGAAAACTGAATCAAAACTTCACCTTGCAAGGGAATCTAAAGCAGAACAGAATACAGGCAAAAAACAACCCAATTTTAATACAAGTTTTGACATATGTTGGCACATAATTAATTTGGAGCCATTACCTTGCTGTAGGTTTTCTAGTTTTTATTATGGTGTAGCTCAGACTTAATCATGACAAGCTTTGATTAAAGGGTTAAGAATTTTAGATTGGGAATCAGCTGATGATGATGATGCCAAGGCCTTGTATAAAAAATAAAAAATAGGTTTTCTATAATAACTGTGTCAATCAGTTCCTCCTTACAGGAAGGTGGAAGGAAGCCTTGGAAAGAAACAGTGAGTAATATCAGCCCTCAGACATCCCATTACTCTGCCATGTAACCTCAGTGTAGATGAGCTTCTCTTTCTGACTTTAAAGGAATATTATGAGACTGACCCTGCTGTGCTTTGTGAACAGCTCCATTTCCTTCTCCCTCCGTTCCTCAAAAGCTTTTCCAAGGGTTTTTTCTATCTGAGGAGCTTTGCATGCTGTCAGTGCCCCTGTTATTTTGTTTAACACCAGAGGTTATCCAAAATGCCGCAGAGGTATCCTGTTTCCTTGAATATATTCAATTTATATAAAACACACCAATTTATACAGAATTTATTCTTGCGAATGCACAAGTGCTTTTATGAGCAAACTGAGTAAAACCCATTTCCCACAAAGATAAAAAGGCTCTTACAATGAACACAAAATGATTAGAGAATCACAGAATATGCTGGCTCATCTCTTTGTAAGAGTTGAGTCTGTCCAAGTTATTCTCAGGTGTTGTCAGAGGTCTGAAAGGTACCCCTGGCTTTTTGGGAAAATGGATGAGCAACAGAACAGAACCAGTGTCTTCTGATCCTGTGAAGTGTTCCTCACCAAATATTAAAGTTAAGCACCTTATATTAAAATTAAATGTATCAAAAAGTAATACAGTTCTTAAAATTATACAGCTGTGACTGACACAACTGCAGCATTTTTTATTCTGCTGCCACAAACCATTTTCTACAGCTCTGCAACCTTGAGCTAATGATTCCCATGAAAATGCCAATTAAAGTGGTGTGGTTTGATTAACTAGTACTACAATGTAATATTGACTCACACTTTTTCCACAGTGTTACACATCATTATATTAGATGACATTACAGCTTCATCAATGAAATTGTATTTTCAATAATTTTGTAATAAATTCAGTCTTTATCAGCAGGTTTAATTGAGAATAACTTTGCATCTTCTGGAGAGTTACAGGCAAGTAGTTCAGGCTTTAGTCCTGCACTGTTATCCATGTTGGCAGATTCCATCCAGAGGTATAAATCAATTATCCTCACATACAGATCAGGACCATAAACGTGAGTTGTGTAATGCAAACTTCCCTTTCAACTACCAGGTTAAATCAGGATTAAATAAAACTAAGCTGCTGATATTGTATATGTGTATTTAAGAGTGTAATTTAGCAAGGTATTTAATTGCAATTTAAGTTACTTAAGAAGTTTGCCAGTTTCTCCTCAGGACCTGTGCTGCTATTTAATATATATTTTGTAATTCGAACATTATTCATTTATTTTTCATTCCAATAATTGTACTGATCTTGATACATAAATATTTAAAGTGAACGAGACTGTGCACATATTTTCTTTTCTTTGAGTTATAGCACTATTTACTTATAACTTCACAGATACCACAAGGTATTTAAACCTGGTTGAGAGTAGATTTAGACAGAAGGTACCTAATTCATAATAAATAATCAACGAGCACTCCATGCTCAGTAAATGAAATTATCTTTCCCTCTCCGGAAAGTTCACGTGAGAAACCCAAGTTGATTTCTATTCAGTCTTAAAGCATATACAGGAAGAAAAAAGAATATATTAGGAAGAAATTCTTCCCTGTGAGGGTGCTGAGGGGCTGGGATAGAATTCCCAGAGAAGCTGTGGCTGCCCCTGGATCCCTGGAAGTGTCCAAGGCCAGGTTGGATAAACTTGGAGCAACCTGGGCTGGTGGAAGGTGTCCCTGCCCATGGCAGGGGGTGGCACTGGATCATCTTTAAGGTCCCTCCAAAGTCAAACCATTCTGTGATTCTCTATTTTACACTTTGAAATCAAAGATTCCTCAAAGCAGTGCCACTCATAACCCTTGCTCTTTGGTGGACAAAGCAATCCTTGGCATAATCTTCCTCCATCCCTCAAATAGGAATTTAATCAAAGGAACAACCCTGTAGTCCTGAGGGAGTCACCAGGCCTGTCTTTAAATCCTCTCACTTACACTATTTTTGGTTTTGTTTTTTTTTTTCTCTTTTAAAGCCAGGAAGTGAAAAATACTTCAGCCATTAAAAATATAACTTCACATTTAAAATTCTCTTTACGCCCCTTTTTTTTTTAGGAGAGGGTCTGGACGAGCTTTTCCAAGCTCGTGCAAAAAGTCTGTTTACGTCATATATTTCATATGGAGCAAGTACAGACTCCATAAAACAGCCACAGAAGGATAAAGGGCATTACATCCCATGGGATTTGCCAACAAAAATCTTTTGTTTCCCTGGGAGTGCCCTCCTGGGACAGCCAAGGTGGGAGCCCATCCTACCTTTGAACTCTTCAAAAAAAACCTCATTAAGGACATTTCCCTCCTTTTACCTGAGGCCGTGTTTGTTTTAGGTGAGTTTATTTGTTTTAGGTGAGTTTCTGTGGCAGTTCAGATAAAGGAGGGGCTCAAAGCCCAGCCTGGCCCAGGCTTTAGAGCATCCAAGGCCATGGAAGGTGCAGCCACGAGCCTCCCGCTCCGGGATCCGGCGGGACACGTCCATCCCCGTTCCCGGGGCTCCTGGAAGCTCCAGCAGCACCTGCCTCGGCTCAGGGAGCACCAGGAGAGGTAAGGGAGGCACAGGGAGAGGCTTTTCCAGCAGCATTCCTTGGGAAAATCCAACTGTAAGAATCATTTGAATGTCACTGTTTCCGGCAGAAAACATTTCTCAGCTTCGTGTCGGAAAAAAACCTGTCTGAAAATGTTTCTTGTTCAACGTTTGATGGGTTCATTTTGTTCAGGTTTGTTTTTTTTTTTAACTTTATCCTTGTTAGTCAGATGTTACTTATAAATGAAAATTAAGGTTGTGATCACCGATTTATTATTAATATTATTTTTACATTTATTTGCCTTTTATAGCAGAAAGCACTTTTCCATTTCCCCACCTGGATCCTGCAAGTGGGAGAGATGGAAAATACTGTGGAAAAGAGCATCCCCCCCCCAAAAAAAAAAAGGCAGATGCAGCACCCACCACTCCATGTGCTCTCTTGGGCTAATTAGATTAGATTAATTCTGGATCCTGTCTGATTAATTCTGGAATTGCTGATTCAATAAATAACCAGCCTCCCAATGCCAACATGGAATGTGTATTCAGACACCCTGGCAGAGAGGGAGGGAGGGAGGGGTGGTTTTTCTTTTGAAATAAAAAGATTTCATCATCATTTAGATCATTTTGAGTTCACTGCAGACACTTGGAGCTGGGAAATCCTGAAGGGAAAAAAAAAGATCTTCGGGGAAAACGGGCAAGAGATTGTGTGGTTTGTTTAATCACTTGGGAGGCAGAAGACAAAATATTGCCCTAGAAACCAGATTTACCAAACCAAAATTCTTTCAGGGGCGTGGTGGGATTGTTGGGGCTGTGCAGGGCCAGGAGTTGGACTGGCTGATCCCTGTGGGTCCCTTCCAGCTGGGGATATTCCATGATTATTGTATCTCACCCTTACAGCAGCCCTGCTTTGTGGAGGCCCTGGACACTCCCAGCAAGGGATGGGGAGACCACAGAGAATCAACAACTGGTGAGGCTGAATTCTGGAGAAAATATTCCCTCTGGAAAACCAGGGCAGGAATTGGACATGGGAAACGAGACTTGGTCATTCCTTCATTTGCTCTTTCAAGTATTTTTTTTTTTCAGTTTTAGAAAACACAGTTCCAACTACACTGTCCTGGACCTGGGGATGGTTAAGAGTATCTCTGATTTTGTGTCAGATATAGAATCATTATCAGCTCTTAAAGAGCTGCAGAAACAGTTGCTTACTCCACAACAACCCTTATTTTAACAGCAGTTCATATTTGCTTAATTATATATACAAAAAACTCCTCCTTTTGAAATCTCCAGGCCTAGTATGGATGTGATGCTTTGTATAGAGAGGGAGTGAAAATGACTTTAAGGTGAAAGGTAAAAAATATACTTTCAGGTGCACAGTCTTATTTGCTGGGGTTTTTTTTAGGGGGGAGGGATGTTGCTGTAGCTAAACCACCCAGGAAATGAAGAGAAAATTGAATTTCAAAGCAACTCTTACTGCCTTTGAGATGTACTGTGATTATTAGTTTTACTTCCTCAGGTGGGAAGATTTGTTGGGCTCCAAGAACAAAAATAGAGAATTAAGCACAATCAACACAGGTCCTGCTGTCTTATTCTCATGAGAATTCTCACTCTTACAGTGATGATTCCAAGAAACAATTTGTGACATCAGGAAATTGTGATTTCTTACTGACATGGTGTTTTTGCTGAAAATTTTATCCAACCAGCTCAAAAGTTTTAATTCACACCCGGGCTTCTGCCCACTTGTGTGGGGAGAACAAAGCACACGTGAAGGTATAAATTAAAGAGTTGGGTTCAATTTTTAAAATATCGAAATATTTTAAATTTTTAAATTTTTAGATAAAATTTAAAATTTAATAATATCCTTCCAGAAGCTTCTCAGATCCTTCTTAGCCAAACTTTCTGGTCCATCCACACACCTGCAGCATCTGAGATGCCTCTGTAGTGTGGGGTATAATGAGGGCTGAAGGATCAGGAGATGCTCCAAACGCTGGAGAGCAAAGCAAATTAAAGTTTTAATATCCTCTGTGTAGTTAAAAAAAAAAAAAACCTCAAACAACAATTTAGGAATTTACATGTAAGAATCCAACCTGACAAATTGAAAGATGCAGAGAAAAGCCCCCCAAAAATAAAAAGCACTGGTGAAAAATATTAAACTAATAATTTCACCTCTATTGCCAAGAACGTGTGTAACAATGCACCCTAAAGCTACCTATACAAAACATGCTTTTCCTTATGTAAAAAGTAACACTTTCCCAACTAAATATAAATATACTGTTATTTATGCCCAAAGAAAAGCCATGAGAAGTGATTTCCCTGCCCATGGAAGGGGGTTAGAACTTTATGGTCCCAAACTACTCTGTGATTCTACAGTTTGAAGTTACTATTGCCATAACTACAATAAAATATAAATTAAGAGTGAACATTTTCTGCTGTGTACAAGCTGAGGATGATTTTCCATTTAACTGGCTTTTATCAGAGCTGCTTTTCAAAAGTGTTGTCTGATAGTCTGAAAAGAAAAAGTATATAATGTGTGTTTAATCAATCCCTGCTCTTATTTATATGATTATTTCAAAATAATACTTATTCCAAAGAGAAAACAGTAGAAGCTACAGGTAAATAAAGATACAAAAGACTAATTTTAATGTAAATGTGAAAGGAGCTTTTTTAATGCTGTTTGCACTGAAATATGAGATGCCAGTTGTGTCTGGATTTTGCTGTTTGGGCCCTTAATGTGCTTTTTGTGATCTTTTATCCCAATTAAGCTTCTGATTAGTGTTGGTAAAGAGGTATTTTATAACACTCTGTTGGGGTTTAACCCCAGCTGGCAACTCAGTATTACACAGCCAGGAAAACCCAGTCCTTAAACTGATTGAAAATCCTATTTTTTTCCCAATCACTGAACTCCCATTTGGTGGTGTTATCAGCTCACTACAGATATTCCATAAGAACTAAAGTAAAATGTACAATTCTACAATTCCCTGGCTTTGTGGCTCATAAAATGGACAAACTTTGTTAAATGTGCAACTTTTGGCACACAAATTCTCCAAAGTCCAATTAGTCAGAGGAAACCAAGGTGCAGCAGAGCAGAGAAATCAACATTACTGGGGAATTTTACAGAAGAAAATAATTGAAATCTTCATTTTTAGCCTATTCTACATCATAAATATATATATAAAAATAAATAATAAATATATATATTTATAAATATATATATATATTTATATATATATATATAAAATAAATAATCTCTCTTTACAGTCAGAACTGGATGGTCAATTAATAAACTGCAGATCAAAAGGAGCCCTGGGGTTTCAACATCCAGTGAGGTGAGTTAAATCTTATCACTTGATACAGGAAAAGTGACATTTTCCAAAATGAGACATATTCCTTCTCAGGAGAAGAATCACTTTGCCTCTGGAACATCCCTTTTTAGTAAAGCAGTTTAATTACTCATTAAACTGCCCAGATTTTTATCCCTCCACGAGGAAAGATGCCCAGGCTGAACAGACCCTGAAACAACACAAAAATAAGGAAAAAGTAACCCTAAAAAACCCCAATGTTTTTCTGCCTCATCTCATTTATATTTATATTTATTAATATGATAAGGAGCTCACAAAGCCCAAATAATCAATGGGAACAGCTGCCAGTGGAATGTGTTACAGATCTGGGTCTGGAGGTTGCTTAGATTGGGTTAAAATTAATTCCAGGTAAAGCTTTTCCTGTGCTTGGGGGGACTGACAAAGGTTTTCACCAACATTTGGATTCTTTAGGGTTTAATGATGTAGAAACTCCTGACTGGGACTTTCCTTTAGAGGGGGAAAATTAATAGGATATCCCCTTTCTTTACAAGCACCCAACCCCACTCTAATCCTGGTACCCTAATCTTAACTCCAGAATTAATTATTTAATTTCCAGAAAATCAGTTTTCATCTTCCAGCCAGCTCAGATGGACAAATGTCACGTGGTTTTATTTTTTTTTTCTCTTAAAATATTTTTTTTTTTTCTTATTAGACTTTATTTGCCCAAGTCCAAATCCCAAAAGTTCCTTACTAACATGGGAGAGAAGGTTCTGGCGAGTTTTCCAGTCCAAGCCACAATTCACTTCTACAATGATGATGATGATGCCAACTCTGAGGAAGAAGAAATGAGTTCAGCCTGATAAAGAACAGTGGCCAGCCTCGAGAAACACAAAAATCAACCTTAAAAAGTCGAGAGGTGAAAAAAAAAAAAAAGAACTGTCAGAAATACGTGGACAAACATCTGAGCAAACAGAGAAACACGTCAAAGCTCAAAATGTAAAACTGTTTATAACCATCTTACCAAGGAGAATGAGTCAATGGAACGGGGAAACGAGAGGAAATCCTTTTGTGTCTGGAGAGACTTTGAAATAAAACCCTGAAGCTGAACAAAAAGATTGTGAGCTTTAAATCAAGTTGGTTTAAGTAACGCAGATAAAGGACATCAAGAGCACTGTGCTTAATTACTCTTTTTTACATTGCAGTCCTGATAAAGTGAAAGTTGCATTGATTGTGCAGGCCCAAAATAACCCCAAGGCTTTGAAACATAAGGAATTTGAGCAAGAAATTATTGAAAATGCAAAGACTGTTGCTCATTAGCTCCATGGGGCATATTTATTCTGATATAAATCCTGAATGCCCCATTGAAATAATCCATTTCCAGCACAACCCCCTGCCAGGACAAGTTCTAAACTAGAGTTGCAATATTTTCTGGGGTCCTGTCATTCTGTCATTATCAGATTTTTCCCCCCTGTAATCAGAAAAGTGTCTTTTGCCAGTCAGAAAAAAAGTCAGCCTCGATTAACAACTATGATTTCATTTAATGACACATTAAAACACACATTATGTGGTACCTTTTTTTTCCTCCACCACAGCATTGTGTGTGCTCAGAGAGTTTGTCAGTACTTGCCTTGCCACCAGCAGTTTTTAATTAGCTCAAGGATTAATTATTTGGCCTCACTGTGTTTCAAATTTATTATGCTTCATGTCTCTTATCC